AATATATAAGAGTTTGGACTACTTCTCTTAATAATGTTAACATTTTAAGATGAAACCTTAAATTTTAATCCTCACCAGTCACCGGTGATTATGATAATTGCATTAGCATTTCTTTTCGAAACTCTAGATTATCAATGCAAGAACCTCGTCTTGCTACGGTAGTTTCTTCTCAGAGGTGGAATTCATTATTCATATACATAATTTTGTGATATTACAAGTTTTGATTGCAACATGGTCTCCTTATTTAGATGCTCTTTATTAATTCTCATGGTATGCACCTGCATGATATGGCCTCCACGATATATTTAGCATTTTCTGCAACCTTAAAGCATATTTTAATTAACATTCTAGTTGTCTTTGCTATTGGGATAGAAGACTCCACATACTCTGTTATACATAAGTTTCCTAGTCAATTTAGTACTTTCTTTATTTTTAATAGGATCATAGTCAATTAATTAGATTATTTCCTAATTTAATACTTTTTGTAGGTCAATAATGAGGACGTAAATATAGTCTATTCAGTTACTTTTAATTAACTTTTGGCAAAATTGAAATATCTTTTTCTCATTAAATTAATTGTAGGAGAAGTATTTTATTTTACAGATACAAATGATATTCTAATGATAGACCATGACTAATAAATAGTGACTTCAAACAATTTGGATTTGGTTCCGTGGGAACCTAATGTTTGGGAGGTAAGACTTATAACTGGATAACTGCAAAAACTATCCTTCAAATTCTATAACAAACTAAAAAGAACTTCACTTTTCATTATTTTGATTTTTATTTTGTTACCTTTTTTACATTTTATTAACATTCTTTTTATTGTTTTATTTTTTAACTTTATTACCTTATTTTACATGTTAGAAACAGGTGTTACAATTTTATTTTTAAAGTAACACACGTTATTGTGTTACTCCCATTTCAAAACATAACACCATTTTGTCCAACACTATTTCTCACCATTGCCACTGCCTTCGTCATCAACGTTTGTAAAATTAGGATTGATCATTAAGTGGTTCGATCCACACATATATGTTGAGAACTAGATTAAACCAATTCCCATCGAGAATTGTTAAATCAGAATCATTGATTCTACAAGGAGAAGAAAATGAATTGGATTGGGCCGAAATCGATGAGGTCTGGTTCAGCCAGTATCTACTTTTCCCGTATAACCATTGGTTCTAGTCCCTATTTTTATGCTTCAATGTAAACCCTCGTATAAATTTTATTATTCCACTTTCATACTATATGTTTTAAACAAATAAAACTCTCAATTATACACACGATGTGTAAATTTATATAAATTATGAATTCATCTAGAGATTGTAAGAATAATAATTTTGAAATCAAATCGAAATTTGGTTTTTTCTAGACTCAAGGACTAGATCAGAACCATTCAACCTTTGATTCTAAGACCAAGAATTGACTTGAAATGGAACCATAGCAAAATGGTTGATTCGGCCTGATTTTGGATTCTGGTTCCGGTTGGGTGGTCTTGGATAAAATTTCTTGCCTTTAGGTGACATATTGTATTACTTGTATGGTAATTACCTGTTTTATATGTTAGGTAACATCAGAGTGCAGCCCCAAAATGTTAGTACCACTACCACCATTGTTGATACCCTAAACCACCACCCTCTAAACAGTAAAAATCAGCACCACCATATCTTCCAACCACCGCTACAGCAACGTAAAACCATAACTATCATGGTGGAAAGCTTTAGAAACACAATAATCATTCTGATACAAAAATATTTGACAAACGGTGGTGGTGATTGTCGCTCTTGAGAGTGGTGGCTGAGCGCGACAATTTTGATGATAAAATTGGAACGATTGAGATCCTAGTGACGGTGGTGGAATAAGGCGACGGTAGTGTGGGAGGTTTTCTTGTGAAATGGTGGAGAAGATAACGACGGAAAGTTATTGATTTGAGAATTCTAAGTCAGGGTGCTACGTGGCGACAATGATCCAACAATAGTCAGGTGCTAAGGTTAGTTTTTCGTTGGATGAACTGCACTTGGTTTACAGGGCCACATGGGCCGACAGGCCCCCTCGCTACAGGGGCACCAAGTGAATTACAGGGCTCATGTGGTCATGTACATTCAGTTTTTTCCTTGTTGGATAGAAGGGTTATTCTTGGGTGACAACACCTTGTATGTCTAGGGGGTTGTCCAAGGGGCTTTAGCCTGGATAGAATAAATTTGTAAAATCTTAAAACACTAGAAAAAGAAATATATTTCAAAAAATATTATTAGCTAGTAAAAATCTGAAAAACATAAAAGGGAGGCATTTTTTAGTTTTTGTAAGAAAAGAGAGCATCAGCCTTGAGCGTCTTCAACGGACCTTCTGTTTTCAAAGGACATATTTTACAATTTAAAGATCATTCATAAATTTAGAGGGTGAAGCTACAACATGCTGTTTATATTTAATACTTAATTTACTACTCTTAATATGTATTTATTATTATCTCATATATTTTATTTTCACTAGCTTCCCTTTAAAGCATTATATTATTTTCCTCAATTTTCTATATATACTACTCATTTGGATCAATGTATGTAGCTTTGAAAATTGAAATATTTTGATTGTATTTAATTATAGAGAGTGAATTTAACTCTTGAAACATAATTTGAATTGTTGACTCCTTATAATAGAGAGCATTTCATTTTTTGGAAACGTTCTTATTACCCGTTCATAATTTCAATCAATTTCATTTTGTTTTTGTGGTCTGGCTCAATGAATTTGAAATTTATGGGCCAGACCCCCGCTGTATCTATTCATTTATTAACTAATTACAGGATACTTGAATTGCCACCAGCGATAAACGATGCATCCGATTCGTTTGAATCCAAATAACGTGAATATGGGACCAGCTAGGTACTGGATCAAAAATTTATTTTAATATTATTTTTTAAACTGCATATCAATATTTTAAAATGACGGAATAATACCAATGACTGTTGCGTCATTAATTTCCATCTGTCTAGTAACTAGAATTAAATGAAGTTGCAAATTATAATTAAATTAAAGTACACTTATTGGATTGGGAAATATCAAACAAAGAGAAATAATGTCAGACATTTCACATTTGAATAGTTGATTTGTGATTGTGACACTACCTACCTCATACGATGGAAATTTGCTTAAAATTACTTNAAATTACTTTTTTAATTGCCGTACAGTAAAAATGTAAAATTCAAGGAAGTAACTATCGTTTAATTTTCCACCACAATTGGAAACGACATGAAGAGTGGGGCCTTGAAGTTGTTTCTGATTCGTAGGAATACAAAAAAATTCGTTGGATACGAAACTTCGCTCATCGGTGTTATTTGTTTAGGCTGACTGTTTCAACTCAATTCTTTTCGTTTTCACAAGTCTTCATGGAAAAAAATCCCAAGTCAACTGCCGTGTTCACTTTCACCCTGACTTAAGTTGCGTGTAAATAAATTAATTGAATTGAGACAACCGCACCAGAATCTGATTTCTCTATTCTTCTTCTTCTTCTTCTTCTTCTTCTTTCTTCCGAAGGTTGTCTAGTTAGGCTGGCATGGTATTCTCACGTAGGGCTGCTTCTAGTTCAGTTGTTTATGCCTCTCTGTTTCATCTATATATCCTTCAGTTGGTTGATTCTCAATGCCCAAAGCAGTTCCAGTGTGGAAATCTTGGCAATTTGGAGTTTCCTCTGGCCAATTCTTCGGGATGTGGATTGTTCACGGTTGAGTGCGGCGCTCGGCCGAATCCAATAATTCACCTGGATAATCATGAGCTTTCACCACCCTATTCCCCCTTCCTATGGATTCTGGAAAAGTTATCTCCCAATGAATTATTTATTCGAAATATATTTCTTAAAGGTGTTTTATTCAGTAATAATTATGAGGAATTATGCAAATTCTTTTCTCATCTCCCTATGCCACACTTTCCTGAGTCTCCTTCTATTTCGATTTCATTCTTCCCGAATATCACTCTCTTTAAATGCAACAAAGATAGGAACTACGACAGTGAGATACCTAATTTCCGAGAAATTTATGGAAACTACGATGTTTGTGAGCGCTTCAATATATACTACCCCAAGTCGAATGGAAGTCTTCCGTCCCCCAAAAACTGTGCAGTTCTTCACTTGCCACGCAATTTACGAGATAACCCAGATTCATTGGACTTGTTCAAACGGCTAGGTGATGTTTATCATCTAGAATGGAATGTGTCTGATGATTGTCTTAATTGCCACAGAGGAGGAGGAAACTGTACAACTAAAACAGATAATGAATTCCGATGTGATAAAGGTACCATCGGCCTTTGAACATGGATGATCGCAAGTCATCCCTCTACATATTTTCTTTTGATTTGTATTTTTGCCCGCAATCCAGAACCGGGTTCAAGCGATTTAAACTTTAAAACATATAAAATTGTTTGATTATATGTCACTGACAATTTATCACGTGATCGCTATATGCCAATCCTCACGAGTACAGTTGATTATATCCTTCCCTTATATAGATATGTTCTTCATGCCTTGTTGCGGGTTTCATTTTTCTTTCTTCAATTGAGCTTGAACTGACATGTTTGCACGTTGACTATAGTTACAGAGAAAAGGAGGGATTTCAAGATGATCCTAGCCGCAGGTAAATGCGGTAAAGGAGTGCAGATACATTACACATTAGACGTCAAAGTTCCATTCTTACTTGCAAATCTTCTTTACATAATTTTTTCCAATTGAGGTTTTCCTTTTCAATTTTGGTTACTGAGTTCTTGATTTCTCTGTTTATGGTTTTCAGCTATACCAGGAAGTGTAGTTATACTTTGCTTGCTGGGCGTGCTGGGCTTTTTCATTTGGCGCCATAAACGAAGAATCAATGATGCATACTTACTTTCGAGGAACATATCCTCCGATCCCTCAAAATCAGACATTGAAGGCGGGAGTCTCTTCTTTGGTATCCCCGTCTTCACCTATACAGAACTTGAAGAGGCTACCAATAATTTTGATTCTTCTAAAGAACTTGGAGATGGAGGTTTTGGAACTGTCTACTATGGTAAGAATCTATTAGTCATTACGAAAGCAAAGTCAATCAAAATCATGATAGATAAAATTGTTTCTAGTCGATGTATAACTGTTTAATACTAATAGCAAGTCGCCTTCTTTTCTAATTAGGCAAACTCCGGGATGGAAGAGAAGTAGCAATAAAGCGCCTCTATGAGCATAACTATAAGCGATTAGAGCAGTTTATGAATGAAATCAAAATCCTTACTTGCTTGAGGCACCCGAATCTTGTTTCTCTTTATGGCTGTACATCTAGGCGCAGCCGGGAACTCCTACTCGTTTACGAGTACATTCCTAATGGCACAGTTGCGGATCATATCCATGGTGACAGAGCTAATGAAGCACCGCTTTCATGGCCAATTCGCATGAAAATTGCCATAGAGACTGCTTGTGCATTGGCATACCTGCATGCATCTGATATAATACATCGTGATGTGAAGACTAACAACCTACTGCTCGACAATAGTTTTTGCGTTAAAGTTGCAGATTTTGGGCTTTCAAGACTCTTCCCTAATGATGTCACTCATATATCAACTGCCCCTCAGGGGACTCCTGGATATGTGGATCCGGAATATCATCAATGTTACCAACTTACTGATAGAAGTGACGTATACAGCTTTGGAGTTGTCCTTACTGAGCTCATATCATCAATGCCTGCCGTGGATATAAGTAGGCATAGGCACGAAATCAACTTAGCCAACTTAGCGGTAAGCAGGATACAACGGTGTGCATTTCACGACTTAATCGATCCATCTCTTGGATTTGGATCTGATGCTGAAGTTACAAGGATGACTACTTCAGTGGCGGAGTTAGCTTTCCGATGTTTGCAACATGAAAAGGATCTGAGGCCTTCTATGGACGAAGTATTAGCATTTTTGAAGGAGATAAGGGGCGACGAGGAATTAGAAATTGAGAATAAAATGAAGACTAATGACAGTCACAGTGTTCCAAGAGGTGTAAAGATCCCACCTTCACCTGAAACAGATGATATTGTATTGTTGAAGAGCAAGAATTTGAAATGCTCACCAAGTGCTGTGACTGATATGTGGATTAGTGACTCTACAACCACTAGTTCCAGCGGGTGAGATTCCTTTTGTTGTTTCTACAAGTAGATGATAGTAAGAATGTTATTAAACACTCTTTATATTGTTTACCAAATGAGTGGGATTTATTTCATCTTCCATGCTTTCACCTTCACAAACAGTAAATATAGAACTAAAGACTGAGAATATGCTAGTAAATGATGTAGCTTTTTTAACATCTGGTGTGGTGTTTTTGTTGTTTCTACAAGTAGATGCTGGTAAGAATGTTGTTAAACACCCTTTATATTGTTTGCCAAATGGGTGGGATTTATATCATCTTCTGTCCTTTCACCTTCACAAACAGTAAATATAGAAATAAGACTCAGAATATGCTAGTAAATGATGTAACTTTTTTAACATCGGGATGTGTTGTTCTCTTGCTTGAATAATCCAAGAAAATGTTTGCTATGCACTACTGACAACATTGTATAAAACAATATACAACATTTTAACGTGTTGTTCTTCGTTCGTCCTATTAGAGGATGTTAAATCCAGTGCATCAAACATTTGGTGCGCCAACAATAGTTTTTAGTAAACTAATATGCATTGCCACCAGTACAGCACATACCACGCATCTGAGATGATGCCATTCCTGTCATTCTGTCAAAAGTGAAGAACTCTTTGGTTTTATTTGAGAGTTATGTTGCATTGATTTCATAAGAATTGTTCTACATTAACACTTGGCAGCATTTCATTGGTAGTTGGACAAAAAATATTTTTCAACTACCCAATCACAATTTGCCAACTTGCATAACTCTTTATTTGAATACTGGAACTGACAAAGAAAATTAAGAAATTTTCTTGGGATGTTTTTCTTTTCCTTGTCATGGGGTGTTTGGATCTCTTACACAACTAATAAAAATATTCCAAACTAATTTTCATGCTTTTAAAGGACCAAATTTTATATACGATTATAATGGAATTAAAGTTGATCATATACCAGCTGACATGGTAGAAGAAATATGAATTGGAAAAGCCTGTTAGAGCATCTCAAAGAGGTTTTATGAATCCAAGATGTTTTCTATTTTAGGGAGCCTATGCAAAAATAACGAAAAGATCACAGACACAAGATCTTTCACCAATTTTATTATTTGATCTTTTAGTTGTTTTAGTAGAATTTTAAACTATTTTCATCATTTGAAAAATTCAAATTTATTGTGTATTTTGTTGTTAAAATTAAATTTAACTATTGTGTAATTGAGTAATTATTCATGTGGGATCCAAAACCCGGGCCGTTTGTCCACTTATTACTTGTACGTGACTTGTGAGCCCGCGGTACACTTTTTTAGCGAAAAACATGCCGACGCCATTTTTATAAATTTAGTAATCAAAATTCGACTATCTCAAAATTCAGTGAGCAATCGAATACGTTTTCTAAAGTTTGTTGAACAATGAAAAACGTTTTCTCATGTGACAATTTGGTAAAGACATGACGGGACTCCACATGTGCATTCCATTAGCTACGACAAATTTCGTTGGAAGTTTGAAACGGGTGTTATGCCAATAAGTAATGTCCAACGTTTGGATAGATTTAATGGTTAAAACTCGACATTTTAAACTTTAATTAGCAATCGAAAATACATACACAAGTTCAGTAAATATTGAGATAATTAACTCTGCTAAACATGGGCTAAATAAAAGAGCTTTTATTTTCTGTTGAAAATTTGAGCTGTCACCCATGATTTAAAAAAATTGTTGAAAGTAGCTTGTATTTGCTACTTTCAGCACAAAAAAAAAAAAAAAAAAAAGAAGGAAAGAGAGAGAGAGAGAGAGAGGCAACCTTGCTACGTTACCAGCTAGATTTTGCCACATTTCTTGATATTGACATTCTGTCATTGGCAGGTTAAAAAAAAAAAAGGGACAATTTTTGCACCAATCACTTGCTACACTTCATCTATCATTTGGAATGTCTAGGGATGGCAATGGGTCGAATCGGCCTTTAACTCACGAGCTCGGCTCGGGCTGATGGCGAGCCTAGCTCGAGCTCGACTCGTTGCTTGGGGGAGCTCAGCCCATGAGCTCGCGAGGCCGACCGTGTTAAGCATAGGCGCGGAGAACACCCTTCTTTGGCGATGCCCAAAATCGCAATGGATTCCACCTTTACCGAGCCCACACGCAGCTCGTGAACTCGTGATTTTTTTAATATTTTTTAATTATTATTATTATTATTTTTTTTTTTTTTTAAATTTGCACATTTTTTGACTTTTTTCTATTCTTTTTCTTCTTCTTTTTTTTTTTTTTTTTTTTTTTTTTTGTAAATTTACATATTTTTTGATGAGCCCACAGCTTGTGGACTCGTCAAACATGGCTCGTGGGATTGAGCCCCCTACTCGGCTCAGGCTCGAGCTCATCATTTGATGAGCATGAGCCGCCCACGAGCCTAGCATCCCCTCGACTCGTTTGACATTCCTATGAATGTCAAATTCATTAGGCAAAGTGGCATTATCAACACAACTGGCTTAATCGGTGTTGCATTAGTCAAATGGGAGGTTACAATTAATCAATAATAATAATAATAGTAATAATAATAAAGTGTGGATAAGTGAGAGATTCGTTTTGGATTTAAATATTCTTTTAACTCCTTTTTTTACTGTTGATTTAAATTTAGGTAAGAGTCTAATTGTCAAAAAAGGATTAATCGGGTTCTAGCCACTAAGAATTTCAAAAATTTATTTTTGAATCTTTTGCACTTATTAATTTTTTGTTAATTTTTTGATTTTTTAATAATTTATTTGAGACTCATTTGCATTTAAAAAAAAAAATTTCTAATTTTTTAAATAATTTACTTAGGATTCATTTGCACTTTTTAAAAAGTATGTGACTATGGTTGCAATAATTTTTTATTTTTGTTTTTTTGTTTAAATAGGAGGGTATATTCATAATTTCATGATTTTTTTGTTGAGAAATTGGATGAAAATCGATAGAAAATGATGGTCCCATTTATACAGATATGGTAGAGGGGCCTTACATTGGGCCTAGTGCCCAGGTGGTTTGGCCAATAGTGGAAGATATGATAGTAAGTGGACGAAAAGGGAATTTTAGGAAAAAGATCTTGGAGATACCATTGTTTCTTGTACAGAAGTTCCTATAAAAATGATTTCCGACTGGCATAGAAGTCTCTCGCGTGCCCCCTTTGGGGGCTGGGGGGAGAACTACTGTTCCTTTGCGTAATCAAAGGTATAATTAAAGGTGAAAATATAAAAAAATGAAAGGTGATGTTTTTCACAATAGTAGTGAAAGGAATTAACATTATGTGTTAATTACCATTTTACTAATTTATTTTGAACTGGTTTGCATTTTATTTAAAATGGTACTATGATTGCAATGAGTTCCTTTTTTCCCCCTCTTTTTGTTTAATTTAAATTGAAAGATATATTCGACACTTCGTAGCGTTTAATTGAGAAAATTGATGAAAAATACCTTTTGCGCAATGAAATGCGGAAATGATGGTAAAAATGCCAAGAAAATTGAAAGATAATGATTTTTTCACAATTATAGTGAAAGTTAAGGACGATATATGCTAATAACAGTTTAGAATACTGCTAATTATCATTATAATAATGGAACATCGTGATATAACAATTTATGTGGAATAATGATATTGGATAGTTCAATTTTTACAAGAGAGATGGGAGATGTGGTCGCGCGAGAGAGAGAGAGAGAGAGAGAGAGAAGGAACGAAATGTAAGTGATAATGGGTTGTCACAACACTAACACTCCATTATCACAATAATAAGTAACATTACTCGTCAGTGTAGTGTTTTGTTTGATAGGAATTTGACGAGAATGAAGCCAACTTTTTAAATTAGAACTTTTTATTTCTTACATTCATTTTCATTTACACACTAAAATATTATGCAATAAACCTAAATTTTTTCATACTTTTTAACTACACATTCTCCAAAAAATCACTATTCAAAACATCATTTTTCATCCAATTTGTAATGGTCATCAAATTGGAAATTTATAAAATCTTAGACACTAAAAAATGAAGTATATTTCAAAACAATATTATTAGTTATGAGTAAAAATCTAAAAAACATAAAAGGGAGGTATTTTTGAGTTTTTGTAAGAAAAAAGTGTCCAGCCTTAAAGCATATTCAACATCTTCTCTATTTTTAAAGAACATATTTATAATTTGGAGATCATTTATAAATTTAGAGAGTAAAAATTTTAAATACTCCAAAATGCTCTTTATTTTTAATACTTAATTTACTACTCTTAATATGTATCTATTATTTTCACTAACTTCCCTTCAAAGTATTATATTAATCTCCTCCATTTTTTTTGTATATATTATATATTTGGGTCAATAGATGGAACACTGAAAATTGAAATATTTTGATTGTATTTAATTATAGAGAGTGAATTTGAATCTTGAAAGATGATTTGAAGAGTTGATTTTTTAAAATATAGAGTATTTCATTTCTTGAAAATGCTCTTATTATCCGTTCATAATTTTAGCCAATTTCATTTTGTTTTTGTGGTCCAACCCAGTGAATTTGAAATTCATGTCCCAGACCCATGTTGTTTCTATTAATTTATTAACCAACTCCAGCATGCTTGTATTTCCACCAGCGACAAACAATGCATCCTATTAGTTTGAATCCAAATAATGTCAATATAGGGCTAAGTAGGTACTAGAACAAAACTTTATTTTAAGGTACGCATTTTAGAGTTTTTTTTTTTTTTTTCAAACTAGATATCAATATTTTAATTTTATGTCAATTAGATAACTAAATTTAAATTTAATTTCGATTAATGTAACTTTGTTCAATTTCATTAACAGTGATGTGACCATCATTTATTGATGGTCAACACGTGGGGCCGTCAATTGTTGAAGTGGAATAAATGTAATATGAGTGAAATAAACTTTTTTTTTTATATGACCATGGGTGTTCTGACCAGCTCACGCGCACCTCGATTAATCCTATGGGGCTCTGAAATTTACACTGAATACTCATTTCAGTGGTTCTGAGAGGACTCGAACTGGTGACCATTGGGGAACAAATTCAAAGTCTGACCACTGAGCTTTCCCTCAGGATTTGAGTGAAATAAATGACGAAATAATATTAATAACTGTTACATAACTAATTTCTATCTATCTAGTAAATAGAATCAAATGAACTTACCAATTATATATTTAAATTAAAGTACACTTGTTCGATGGGCAAAA